TGGTTAACATGTTCATGTTGTTTTGCTTACTCAAGTCAAGACCAAAAAGTACGAACTGAATACTGTTGGCCTTGGCCTCTTAGAGCTTCTTTACGTATATATTTTATATCAGTTTAATGCCTGAATTTGTTAACGCTAATGACAAGTTCTTAAGTTTTCCTCCAGCATTAGTTCTTCTACCTTGCTCAACAATGCCTAGGATGAAGAAGAAGGAGCTGGCACGACTTTGTCATTCGGGTTTTCACCTTTGAAATTGAACACCAAACAGTTGGAAGACCGTTCGTACTTGAAGGCTAGTCCATAGACCTTGTTACACAATCCTTCGCCGTTTTGAAAAACCTTCAGTATATTTTTAAAAAAACCTTTCAGGAAAAGATGACACTGGAATAGAGCATGGCATGTTAGTTCATAATCACCAACTTGGTTGAAGATAACAAAGCACTCCTCACATACTGTAGGTATTTTGCAGGGGACAACACTTACCTCGGCAAAAGTGCGACATGGTCTGTTAGTTTTTATTGGACCCTTTTTGGAGTGATACAAGGTATAATCATCCATCCAATTCTCAGAGTAGGTCTTGTCATTCTTGCAGGCCTCGAGCCATTTGTCGCAAGCATCACTGCAGATGGGTAGCTCGCTAACATAAGCGCCAGTTGTTTTCCATTTGACCAGGTTTGGATCACAAAAATAGAAACAGGCCTCGTGTAACAGGTATTTCTTACAGGACTAAGATATATAATCTCACTGTTAGTCATGCTAGAGGGGAATTCAGAATAGTTTGGATCGTACAGGCCAAAAACTACGATTCAAATGTGAAGTTGTAAAGAGGGCCCAGAATCCTAAGAAACCCAAAAGAGCTCGGGCTAGTTCATTTTTTATCAACCATGTCAGTAATCAGTGTAGATCGGCGCCTTATAGCAGATTGCAAAATTATTCTTTCGAAAGAAATGTTGCCGCAGACAATATATATCTAAGGATATTTTAAGTTGTTAACCTTACTTCACTTAAGTTACCACAGTATTCCCAGTCCAAATGAAGGATATTTTTGACGATATTTTTCTTTAGTTCCACAGTTGTATTGGCCCAACAGCAAGACTTGTTCTTCCAGGGAAAACAAGTAGCAAAGCCAGGTCCCTCTGGTGAAGGAAACTTCTTGTGAAATCCACCTCAGAGACACTTCTCTACCGTGCCTGAATACACAGACACAAGCTGAATACTCAGAATTGCTGTGATAACAATTGCAGTTAACATACTTTTTGCTCCGTCCATAGCTGGGCTAGCTTGATGTTATCACTGAGATCAATTTCTATATATAGTGTAGACAGCCAAGAGATGTTTGCTTAAGGTAAAGTTTTAAAATATACTACAGACATTGTATTGTTTTTCTTTCTAAGGATCCTTTTGATATTTTAAAATATATATTCATAAACTATTTCAATATAGGCTAGCACTTCATTTGCCCGCTGTTGTACATAAACTATGGTTGTTTAGCAGATATACATTGCAAACATTGAAGTCTTTCTTATGAAAGCGGACCGTTTATTTGAATTAGTAGATTTTACTCCATTTGTCTTTTTAATCCTATAAAATAGAGAAACTGGGCTACAAAAAGTGAGCAATATATGTTGTATGAAAACAAAAACAGGTCACTCCTTAGACTAAGAAAACTAGGAATATTGTTCGCTGTAAGTGGTATCAGAATAATAGA